TTATATTATAAATCTTTTGGTAGCATAAATATTGCAGATCATGCAAACATTCATGGAAAAGGATCGGCCACTCTAGCACCGGGTGAGAACCATGCTGATGGTGAATGGGAGTGGACTCTCGCGATCGAAGAACATCCATGGAACAGTCAGTCCGTCGTTGAAAACTGCTGAGCAGTGCTTATAACGTAACTCGTAATGAAGAATTGAACGAGCGGGCAGGTGAATGTGATCCTCAGGTAGTGGCGGCTGACTGCACGGACAATTCTTGCAGCAGAGCCGCTCGGCGGGCTGCTACACAAGGATGGTCTTTTTCAATATGCATGGCTTCAAGGTGCGTAAGAGATCGGCTTCTAACTCTTGAGGTACTGGGTTCGATTCCAGTATATGGTTTTGGCTTAACCACTACTTCCCTTGAGGAATTTTCCACAGGTTACTTCAGACATCTAGATTGTTCAATCGGTAGTGCGTCGCTCTCTGAACCTAAAGGTCCAGAGTTCAAGCTCTGGTCGATGTCCCTCGCCTTCCTTCCAGGGTTGATAAATCAGTGGGCAGAAAACAAGATACTACACTATGCTTGCTACATAGGTAGTGTCGATTCTGACATCAAAAAAGACATTTACAGCATAAAAATGAAGATGAGCACCACACCTTCGACTTCATGAAAAGCAGGATAAAGGAACAGTCCCATTATAGAAGTGTCAGAAAGACCAACTTTACAACGATTACAAGTTTTTCTTTTCCATTTTTACGATACAGATGAAAGGTGTTTTAAGGACAAACCTTAGCCTAGCGCCGAAAGCAATGGAATAAAATCATCAGCCATGTTGCAACAACTATAGACGACCGATTAATACTCGACGGCAGCAGTCGGGAAGGCAAATGCAAAAAACGAGAAGATCATGTAGTCCGTAGAAGCAACAGAAGGCGCTTATCGCTGAGCAAGACATCGAAAAAAACGCAACGTAGTAAAGCAATCAGGCGCGAACCTTAAAATGACCGGAATCGTAAGCCGATCAAAGGTGAAGGCGAAAACTTCCATAATATGACAGGAAGTGCTTCCCCTTTACCCTAAGAGGAATGTCTCCAGTGTACTTGGGACAAACTAACGGAAGTGCTTTGAGCCAGGTCTTTCCACGCACTGAGCATCTATCATATTGTATAATTCATCTCTTTGACATAATTAGATGTTTAGTGTATGTATATTCGGCTAGCATTAGACTATCTCAAAGTAGCAGAAAGACCAATTTTCGTTTCCCCATAAATTTGAAATCTTTCCTTACCTTTCCATAATAAAGTTCGTGGTTTCCTAAATGCATCATTATAGCTGAAAGAAAAGTTCCGACCATCTTTCAACTTACCAAGTGCAAAAAATATGCCATGTTTTGACTTGAGTTGAGACAGAGGAGTGGCAGCATGTTTCAGATCTTCGAACGGTCCGTCGACCAAATCGCCGACTATCGTTATAATGTCTAAAGAATAAAGAATAGAGTAGTAACCAGCTGCGCAGGGAAACCTAATATACATACCGGGGTTAAGTTCGTTGACGATGTTCACGACCTTGCTTACCGCCCTCTGACCGACCGTAGGGCCGATATGGATGTCGGTGAGCAGAGCGATGGTCAGTCCGTCGAATTCTTCAGGCAGCTTTCTCAGTGTGATGTCAGTCAGCCTGACAGTGATACGCGATGCACCGATAAGGCTCAGTACGGAAAAGAAGATCATCAAAAGTAGACAGATTACGAATTGCCAGTGAGCTTGGACCAAAACCGCTCGAAAACACGGATGGTTGGTAAGCAGGCGCTGGTAGCAGCTGCGGGTGATAGTGCAGAAGAGCAAAATACGGGTTGTGACGTTTACCACACAAAAGAAGCAGAGGAAGGCGACGAGATATGTCCAACCACCGACAGCGGTCAACGACAACACTGACAGCCATGAGGGCTCAGTGTCGCACAGTACGTAGTAGGAAAAAAAGCCAAGGTGGGCGCCGAACATCAGGCACAATAGGAACATGCATAGCGCACCAACAAAAAGAAGCAACACCCATCGTGGAACAGACTGAAATCTGTTCAACTCATTGAGGCATTGCCGAAAATAAAAGAGAATCAAGAAATCTCCCATCGCCATTATGATGTTGATGTTCATCACTTCTTGAGCTCGCAAAAGATGGGCATAGCTGTAGCTGATGGCCGACATCTTCAGAGCTGCAAACACCAGATTAGTAGCAGTGAATACCACCAGAAAAAAAATCAGGAACCTCTCCCATGAATGAATCATTCCTCTAAACTTCCTCCAAATCTTTTTTAGAATGCCGATCATCAAACGTGATTCAAGCAAGACAAATCAGTATACAAAATAACCACTCCACTACAGTAACCTTGTAAGGAGACTAGCAAATGTCAGAGATGTCAATGGTCTGAAAAGGCCATTTGAAAACTGAACCACTTTTCGGCTGTTCAAAGTGTAAAGGTCAATAGCAGGAACTAAAAAAAATACACATTGAAGCAAGGATTAAAAACAACGAAGCTATTAACACGAAAAAAGCGACCTATCAGTTTTCCATATTACTGCATGAAAATGAGCGGTAAGAATCCCTATGATTATGTTCAGTGGAGACCAAACGTTCCGCTGATTATTCACAAGAACGAAAGTTTTAAAACTGACGAAGGCGTAAATCCTCTAACAGTAGAGAAGACCGGCTTTGAATGAGACCATGGGGGGGAGGGACATTGTGTGAAACCGACAAGAGTAATTATGAACCCCATGCAAAAAGATGTCTTTCTACTTTCGTCATCCGCATTACAGCGTACAGCAGTAAAATAATCATTACTCCATATCTACAGAAAGCAAGATACGATACTCAAGGCAAAAAGATTCATGAAGGTAGGAATTAAGTGCGGTAGCACTGATTTTAGTGCTGTTCAGTTATATGCTGTTTTCTGATTGATTAAATTTCGTTTCCTCAGGTAGCTGGAACTCCGAGAGTAAGAGGTTGTAAAATCTGTATGAAATGAATGGATTGTATTTTGCAATATCCGTTTAGTTAAAGACGGGACGGTCGTAAACAATCGGCACAACAGTGGTCTTAAGCAGGAAACTGTTTTGCAATCCTTCAGATATCGCGATTTCCCCAATACATCGCTAGAGGAGTGCAAAATCACCTCCTTTTAAGGCTGAAACATGGAACGGAGGAGCAGAAGGAATAAGCCTTATACAATGCGTAAATTAAAAGCTCCCATCAAATGCAAATGGTGACAGTAAAAGTACAAGATATCTTTCCTAACTTTAGGGCAGTTTATAACTAGTAAGCTTTAGAAATACAAAGTATCTTAGAAGTACAAAGTTTAAAACTCACTCAAAAAAATTTGTACCTTGTACCTTAGAAGTACAAAGTTTAATACTCACTCAAAAAAATTTCTTATTAACTGCTCATTAATCTGAACGAGGAATTTAACTGACTGTACTTTAGCGCTATTAGTCAAGGAAAGCACAGCAAATCTATGAATGCGAACAATAAAAACAGAAAGGTTACCGGTAGCTCCCGGTAATGCAGGAGCTTGCGAGACAAATGGCCCTGTCTAATTACCTTATTTTAGCTGTTTCAGAGGGCTAGGGCTTTCCCACGATTCTAATCATCAACTGCCATTGTATTCTGTGCTGCCTAACGTCGGATATGACTGCAAGTCAATCATTGTGCCATAATTAACACGCATCTTGTCGGTAGATACGGATCATCCCCGTATCAGACAATTCGTTTCATACTATCTAACTACGAAGCTGTCGTCTGCCTCTCGGTCCTTAGCTGCATGGTTTCGCCACCCTACGATAATGACAAATGATAATGATGTCCAATACGGCTGCAAGTCGTGATGACCCATTACCTAACAGTCAACTGTCGACTGTGATAATCAGTACAAGGTACAAAGAACAAAATAATTACACTCAACAACCCTGGGGAAAAGTGACCAAAAACTAGCAAAAGACCTAACCGTAAATTTAAAATAATTATGCAATTAATAACAGATCCATCCAAGTCGTACAAAATCACAAGTTCTCCCTTATCAATTTGAAGATCACACTAAGAGGTAAGTCTACTTCTACTAGGGAAAGTAGTAAACGGGTGACAATGGGCTTTCAAGACGATTTATAGCTGAGCTCCATGCTCTGACAAATTAACCATGCTGTGAAAGATTCCGAAATACACCATACAACCAGAAAAACCAACGGTCTCCAGCCTCTCTGGCCAGCATTGTGAGTTACAGACCAACCTTCTAAGATAAAACCACTCAAGAAGTTAGTAGGAGCAAGGAGGAAAAAATTCAAAGGAAATAAATCTTTGTTCGAAAATCTTTGGAGGTCTTCATCCGACGAAAGAAAGTTGAAGATAAACATTTTACTGTTTGAATGGCGTAATTCGACTGGAACTATTTTTTACGCAAAAAAACAACAGCTACATTAAAAAGAGAAAATATCTGGCATTATATTGCAGCAAAATGAAAGTGGCAAATATTAGATGTTTTTGACCAATATACTATAAATCAAAATGATTCAGCACTCAACAAGTACCAGGGACAAGTTCTCCAATGTTTCAGATAGTGCTCGAATAGTCTTCAGGGAGCGACATATTACAGACACAATGCGAACATAAAACGACATAACAGAAATCTAACAAAAAAATAAAACGGCAAACAGCAGCTAACAAATAACGCAGTCGCACAGAAAGAAAAGTGTCACACTGAATTTAGCGGCACTGACAATGTCTGAATGGGCGCTGAGAAAGTCAAAGAGGGGTCGTTTCCGAAAGAACTTCGCCACTGAAGAGCGATCAGTTCACCAAAAGTGCATGAACAAAAAGAAAAGCACTTTAAAAGGCTGGTATTCAGATAATCATCGAATCTGCGATTAAGTCGAAACTAACTGAGTCTGTCCTGGCATTATTCACTTGTTTGGAGGCGGTGGCACAGTAACATGAGGCCAGTTTCAAACTCTGAGGTACAAATCTCATAAATGAATCAGCTCAAGCAATAGATCTCAAGCAAATCGCCCAACTGTACTTCAACGCGACCACTCGACAAACGGGCGACCAGTTGTCAACTTGCATATAACATAAACAGCATGACGTTCCTCTATGGTCATAAAAGATCGTGCACGTTCTGCTACAATATACCTTGACCCAAATGATCGCTGGCAGAAAATTAGCACAACTTAAAAACGATAGACTGAAGCATGCAATAAAAATGTTAACTTTACAACTCAAATCAATTAGATTATAATCCACAAACCTTTAAACTAAAACATTCATACAACAAAATTGAACAATTACATTAAAATATTGATAGGGATTTAATTGAGCAATTATTTTGACAAAAGTGACCGAGCAATGACGCTTGAGACCGTCAAGCTTGTCTGAATGAAAACCTCAAAGATACTCTGTCACATAAAATTTTGAAAGCAGTACATATCTCTGAAAAAACGTTACGAAAAAAATTAAAGAATTGCAGTCTCTCTGGCCCGCACATCAGCTGAACACCGTAGCTTAAAAACAGATGCTCAAGTATCTACAAAATCAGCCGCGTAATTTTACGGTAGAATCTCTAAAGGAGATGCGCTGGTGCCCAAAAATTACGAAAATCGTATCGCGGGAAACTCCGCCATGGCCGGTCCCAAGCCCGGATGAGAAAGGAGGAGGGTTGGAGACCGTGGCAAGACTCCGTAAAATTCAGCCACCTGCCA